TGAAGGCCTCAGAGGGGCAGATGCGGGGTGGATGGGGTCAATGAGACAAAAACACAAAGGCTACATCTGTAATACTTTCAACAATAAAGATAAATTTTAAAATAAGATATGAAGAAACTGAATTACTCACATACAGCCATTCAATGTAAACAGGACAAAAAAAAAAAAAAGAATGTATCCTGGAAAAGTATTCATTGTTGTTTTGTATCTTTATATTTATGATTTCGATTTACATAAATTCTGTTGTCTTCTAAAAAAAAACAAAAACAAAAAAAACTAAACATACAACTATCCAAACAACTCAGCAACTGCATACTTGGGCATATATCCAGAGAAATAAAAAACGTATGTTCACACTAAAACTTGTATGTGAATGTTCATCATAGCAGCTTATCTGTACAGACAAAATCTAGAATCAGCCCATACAGCCATCATCAGGTAAACAAAATGTGGTACATATATATGAAAAAACACCTAGTAATAAAAAACCTAATCACTGACACACACAATAACTTGGATACATCTCCAAGGAATTATGCTGAGCAAAAAAGCCAATCCCCAAATGTCAGCTTGATATCTTTATTATAGTGATGAAAACATGAACCCGCACCAAGTGGTAAAATTGTGTAGAACTTAATATATACACAGAAGCACACACACACAAACAAGTACCAGCAAAACTGGAAAATCTGAATAAAATCAGTAAACTGTATCAGTGTCAATATCCTGGTTGTAATATTGTAATTTTGCAAAATGTTAGCATTTGGATATACTGGAGAAAGTGAGAATTATTACTGCATGTCTATCCACAATTACCTCAATAAAGTGTTTCAATTATACTGCATCTATGGTCCTATTAATAGCATCACAGGCTATGTGTGTCCTGTGGCTCTGCCTATATTCCACCACATACCCCAAGAGTATGCAGACCCCAGTGTAAAAACCACCAACGCGGGCTTCTAGCCTCCACTTACTGCTAGATAGGTATTGGTTTCAGGGGTCATTTTCAGATACCTCACATTTCCTAACAAACTGGTCTCAAACTGACAGAGATAAATGACAGATCTAAAATGTATACACATAAATTAAACAATATATATATGAAGAGTCATCTAGTTCAGTGATTTTCTTTTTAACCATTTAAGTCTTTTCTGAGACAAAATCCGACATGGAACTCAAAAAGAGAGAGACAGCAGAGGCACTACTTCCACTGTGGCAGCTGGCGGGCCCAGCACATGACTGAGGAGCTTCCCTGGCACAGTGACAGCCCTGAGGAGCCTGCCGAGGGCCGTCTGAAAGCCACTAACTTACTTCACTGCTCAGGACTTCCAGTGAGCAGCCCGGAAAAGGGAAGTGACTCGCTTCAGACTGTCTAGCTGGATGACTCAAAACAAAACAAAGCAAAGCCTTGAGTCCAGGTCTGCTCTGATCACTACCCCATGATGTCCCTCAAATTCCATGGACTTTTCATGAATCTGCTAGCTTCTGGGATATCTAGTATATACATATATCACCTGTCTGTGCTTGAATAAACATCTTGGAAAAACAATTTTCTTTTTATTAACAGCACAGAAGGGCAAATTGGGGCATTCCTATAAAGAAACAGAATACAAAATCTTAGCACTGCACAGTACCTGAATACTGGATTTATTTAACCTTGATCCTCCATAGATCTGGCTCTGCTCTTGGAGTTCCTCCACTGACTACAACATATCTACCCTGTACCTTCCACACTATCACAGACAAGCTAGAAAAAGGTCAGATTTAGCAACAAACAAGGGGGAAACCGAGTGCAGCAGTCTGTAAAAATGAATGAAAAAATGACATGACAGTAATTAGACAGGATCTGGTATATTGTGTTAGGGAAAACAAATGATCTGAGAATCAATTAAGATATTAGAAAATAAATGTAAAACAGGAAAAGAGGTGAAAATCTACCCGTCAGACACAAAATACAACTATCAGATCAAGTGAATTTCAATTTCAGACCATTACCCAATTCCATAGACAAGATGGAAGGGCGTCTGCATTGAGCTTAAGAACTAAAGCAGTTACCCAGCCTGTCAGAGAGACTCTTCTCTAACTTCTCCCACGACGATGTCTGGGACCCTAGTGTCGCCTGCAAATTTTCTATCTGTCGAAGCAATGGTCTTGTCGTTGACGAAACACTTTGACTCAGTTCCTGGTTTCGATTTTCTGCTTCCTGGAGTCTCTGAATCATGAAATTATTAAGTTATTACCGCTGACAACAATAAAAACACTAGCAAACAAACTTTATGGGATTTCTGGAAAAAATTATTTCTCCAAGATAGAATTACTTTTTGAATTAAATTATTTTATAATTATTCAATCCTTAAGTTAGAGTTATGTTGCATGATTATCTAAATAAGTGCTCTTTTAGAAAGCATTTTCTAAGATAGAGCCTCTGACCATCATAAGGTAAACACAAGTATCATCCAAACCACCCTGTAGTAACCTCCCCATCCAAACTTCTAAGTATTTATTAAGACAGGCAAGTTGATCGGAATTGCATTGCCTCTCCCTTTTCCTATGCATGCTCACTGACTGGAACTGAATAGCGGATAACATAAAAACCGGGCAGTGCTCAGACTGATAATAATGAATAAAACAGCTATTACAAATGAAAACAATACTGAATAAATTTTTCATAAAATGATTTGCTCTAAAACAGAATTAGGGCTTTTCTTATATATTTTTAAGGTTCCAACTCTGATTTTATTCACAAGCCACAAAAAAATAGCAAACGATACATATGGGAGTAATTCTCCCAATTCCACGAACATTACCCGCTGAGTCACTTTTTATTTCTAAAAGAACTGTGGCAGCACCTGCTGGAGTTCACTGATCTCATGGCGCAAATAATCCTCTTTTCTGGCAGCTGTTTGTTCTGCACGCTGCAGGGCCAGCCTCAGGTCCCCCACCTGCATGAGGAAAACCAATACACTATCACCGTCTCGAACACTGCCTGCTAACTACGTATTCTGTGTTCTGTTGACTTACTGTTCATGTATAATACTGTATACTATCCAATGAGCTTTAACGTATGATTATCACACATCCCATTCATCAAGCAATTCCGAAACTATATGTGTGTTCATTTTGTACTAAGGAAAGTACTGTTAGACAAAAAAAAAAAAAATGTATGTGTGTGTATACAAGGCACAGCCACTGCCCCATAAGAGATGACGTATCCATGTATGTCTGCAGTGCAGACTGCATGTGACAGCTACATGAGCTATGAGAGCGAGTCCTGAGAATTCGCTCTATGGAAGCAGATCTCTATAAACACAGACATGTTTCCTATACTGTCAGCTACATCAACAATAACACACAAATCATGAAATATTGTAAATATCCATCAGTAGTCATCTATTTTTACAAGTCTCAATACAACATAAGCATACTCATTAAAAATTATGGTACATGTAAAAATGTATGATTTAATCTTAAATGAAAAAAACTGTAAAATAATATATAAAGTATAAAAATATGTACATGGAAATAAGAACAAGAAGGTAACACACAAAGTTGACAGTACTCCTAACGGTGATGATTTTATGAATGATAGTGCCCTACACTCTAATTCCCATTCCTCCAATTTTTCTTTATTATTTTATTTTTCTAGTGTATTTTTAATGTAAAACATTAATAATTTCTCTATCCTAGTGATAGAGTTGCAGAAACACAAGGGGAGTATGGACCATTGCATGACTTAAACAACCCAAATATCCATTATTAAGAACTGACTGAATACAATGAAGCGTTATAACTGTAAAAATAATTTTTTAAAAAAGCTTTAGGTTAAAACTAAAGTTCTATGTTCTAGTATGGAATGATCACAAAGATACTTTATTTTGTAAATAAAGCAAGCTGTCAACAGTATAAATAGTAAACTATATATATTTTTTCTTTTCATCTTCCTTGCCTCTTTACTTCATCAAAATTAAAAACTTTGCCGAAACCGGTTTGGCTCAGTGGATAGAGCGTCGGCCTGCGGACTGAAGGGTCCCAGGTTCGATTCCGGTCAGGGTCGTGTACCTGGATTGCGGGCACTTCCCCAGTGCGGGGTGTGCAGGAGGCAGCTGATCGATGTTTCTCTCTCATCGATGTTTCTAACTCTCTATCTCTCTCCCTTCCTCTCTGTAAAAAATCAATAAAATATCTTTTAAAAAAAAATTAAAAACTTTTGTGCATCAAAGGACACTATCAAGAAAGTGGGACAACCTATATAGAATGGGATAAAATATTTGCAAATCCTGTATCTGACAAGGGTCTAGTATGTAGAATACATAAAGATTAATAAAAAGCCGAAACCGGTTTGGCTCAGTGGATAGAGCGTCGGCCTGCGGACTGAAGGGTCCCACGTTCGATTCCGGTCAAGGGCATGTACCTGGGTTGCGGGCACTTCCCCAGTGGGGGATGTGCAGGAGGCAGCTGGTCAATGTTTCTCTCTCATCGATGTTTCTAACTCTCTATCTCTCTCCCTTCCTCTCTGTAAAAACTCAATAAAATATATTAAAAAAAAAAGATTAATAAAAAGACAACCCAATTTAAAAATGGGCAAAGGATTTAAATATTTGAAAAAACTTCTCCAAAGAGGATACATAATGGCCAAAAAGTACATTAAAAGATGCTCAACATCACTAGTCATTGACACCACAATCAGATATTACTTCACACCCACTAAAAGGGTTACATTGAAAAAAAAATAGACAATAAGGAATACTGGGAAGGACGTAGAGAGATTAAAACGCTCATATATGGCTGGTGGGAATGTAAAATGATGCACGTTTGCAGAAAAGTTTGGCAGTTCCTCAAAAAAGTTAAATATACGGCTACCATATGACTCGAGGGTACATATCTAAGAGAAATTAAAATATATGTTCACACAAAAAATTATAAATTATAAAACAGCACTTTTCATATTAACAAAGAGTGTAAAAAATCCAGTGATGGCAACTGATGATTTTATAAGACAAAGTCTGAAAAATTTGGGGGTTCCTCATTCATCTGAGTTTCATGGAGTTACACAGATTCTCCTTAAATTATATGAATGTTTAGTATTTTTCTGAATACATGCATTTTTCTGGTAAGAGGTCCTTAGCTTTCGAAATATTCTCAAATAAGCCTGAAATTCACAAAAAATTAAGCAATACTTGTATAATTTAAGCATCACTTTAATAACAGTTAAAAGAAAATACACAATTAAGTTAGTCTAACAGCATTATAAAGGAAATATAACAATAATAAAGAAGGTTTGACTCTAATGAATTTTAATTCACAGAAGCACCAGGATCTAAAAAGCGGATGTAATTCATCCTCCACCGCGTACCTGAATGGCTAATGTTTCTTGCTGCTGACGGGCTTCTTCTTGGACCTTCTCTAGAGCTGCAGAAAGTTCTTCCTTAGCTTTCATTTCGTGACTCAGAGCAGCTTCCTGTGCCTCACTAGCCTTTGCAGCATTGGCTTTGTAAAGATCAGTAAGTTCTCTTAAAAAAATTAGATTGATAAGTTTTATTTAAAATAATATGCAGTAGCCCTGGCCAGTTTGCTCAGTGATTAGAGTGTCAGCCCACAGACCAAAGGGTCTCGGGTTCGATTTCAGACAAGGGCATGCACCTTGGTTGCAGGCTCGATCCCTGGCCCCAGTCAGGGCACATGTGTAAGGCAGTCAATCGATGTGTCTCACATCGGTATTTCTCTCTCTCCCCTTCCTCCTTCCCTCTCTCTCTAAAAATGGATCCTAGCAAGCGTGGCTCAGCAATCGTGCATCGATCCAGGAACCAAGAGGTCATAGGTTTGATTCCCAGTCAGGGCGCATGCCCTGGGTTGTAGGCTCGAACCCCATTAGGCGTTCAGGAAGCAACCTATCAATGATGTTTCTTTCTCATCAATGTTTCTCTCTCTCGGGTGAGGATTAAAGAAAAAGATAAATTAAGTAAAATAATTTACAGTAATTACATGGCCAAGGATATGAAGGTTCCATGTAGATTTCCATCAGATTTACAGAATGAGGGAGAGTTCACCACATAATAAACAGTGACTGCAGTTAAGTACTCTCTGTTGAATTTGCTGTGAAAAGTTTCAAGTTCATTTATAGCTAAATTTACGTGTTGTCGATGATCAGATAATAGAAAAAGAATTTCTTCAACATCCTGCATGTAACAGATTGTGAATGAGTTGCATATTTATTCATTTTCTTACTTGTATGCACTGTCAAGAGCAGCCTGAATACTTCGGTTCTTTTCTTCAAGTTCATTCATAGCCGCTTGAAATTGGCCAAGATCTTTCTCTTGACGTTCGACCACAGAATTTAGTTTTTTAATATTTTCTCTATGTTGTTTCTCAACTTCTTCTTTACCATCAAGGACCTATATTATAAAAACAGGCAAAAGTATTCTTCAATAAATAACACTATGGTAAATAAGTGTATTCCAGGAAACTCAAGTATTATAACAACAAACAATAATCTTAAAATTTGTCTATTAAGTTGTGGAAAAGTACTTCCCATGTGATATATCCCAATAAATCATTCCAAATATTTTATAAGCCACAGTGAACTGTTCATATAGTAATAACAATTTATATAGAAAACAATTAACATTCACCTGTTTCAAATGTTGCAACTCTTCTTCTAGCTCTTTAACTTTTTTCTTCAACTTTGCAATAATATTTTCATTCTCTTTGTCTTTAGCTCTTAATTTCTTAATGATGTTAGAACTCTGCAACTGCTGTTTTGAAAGTTTTTCTCCTGGCAATGGCAAAAATGTATAAGTTCAAATAACAATGATTCCCTAAGAATCTAAATTGAATGTTTCTCTAACCAGTGATAAAAAAAAAAAGGATGTTTTTAAAAATCACAATACTGTAAGCACCAATGTTTTGGATAAGAATCATTAATGAATGCTAGGATTAGTAGGTGGAAGCATGGTGGGAAACAGGATATAGACAGTCTTAAAGAAGCATTCCCACATATTTCTTATGAGTTCCAAAAGCAAAGATGTGCTTTTACAATGGAAAACTCTGGCAGTCACTACCATAACGAAACATCAATGCCTGTGGTACAGCCTGACATTACGTGTCTACTGATGGGATAAAGTGGCAGGTGCACAATATCACTTATAATATTTCTTATTAGAAATTTGATTTGAATATAATCATGAAGAAAGTGAAAAATTCCTGAACCTGGGGCACTCTGTAAGACAACTGGCCGGGACTCTACACAGTCTTCAATGTCATGAAGAAGATAGAGCTATCCTAGATTGATGAAATCATGGCCAAATGCAATGAAATAATGGCCAAATGCAATGTACAAACTTTGAATGGATCTTGAGGCAGGACAAATGACCAGCTATAAGATCACTTTTAGAGGCAATTGGGATAAATGATGAAATATATACTGGAATATACTTCTGATTTTCTTATATGTGATTATGATGTGCTTGTGAAGGAAAATTAATTGCCCTTAGGAGATGCAGATGGAAGAATTCAGGAGTGGACTACAGATTCAATGCAATCCTATCAAAATCCCAAGGGCATACTTCACACACACACACACACACACACACACACACACACACAAATAAATAAATCCTAATAATTCATCTGAAACCACAAAAGACCTCAAATAGCAAAAGCAATCCTGGATAAGTACAAAGTCAGAGGTATCACAACATATAACAAAACTACAGCAATCCAAACAATATGGTACATACATAAAACCAGACATATAGACCAAAGGAACAGAATAGAGAGCTTAGAAATAAATCCACACATTTATAGCCAACTGATCTTTAACAAGGATGCCAAGAACACACAGTGGGGAAAGGATAGTCTGATAATAAATGTTACTGGGAAATTGAATTTCCATATGCAGAAGGATGAAATTGGACTTTATCATATACCAAATATAAAAATAATTTGAAAATAGATTAAAGACTTAAATGTTAAGGCCTAAAACTGTAAAACTACTAGAAGAAAGCACAGGAAAAAAGCTTGACATTGGTCTTGGCAATGATTTTTTGGATATGATACCAAAAGCATAGACTACAAAGGCAATAATAAACAAATGTGATTACATCCAAGTAAAAACTACTGCACAACAAAGACAACCATCAACAGAATAAAAAGACAATCTACATATTAAAATATTTGTCCTTTTGTGTCTGGCTTCTTGTTTTCAAAATTCATCCATGTTACAGAATGTATCAAAATGTCATTCTTCTTTTGGCTCAGTAATATTTTTTAACTTTTTTTTTAATTGAACTTATTGGGGGTGACATTGGTTAATAAAATTATATAGGTTTCAGGTATACAATTCTATAACACATCATCTATATATTGTATTGTATGTTTACCACCACAAGTCATGTCTTCTTTCATCACCATTTATCGCTTCTTTACCATCTTCTACCTCCCCCACCTGTTCCCCCTTCCATCTAGTAATCACCATACTTTTGTTTGAGTCTCTGAGGTTGTTGTTTTTTTCTTAATCCCTTCATCCTTTCCACCCAGCCCCACAACCCTCTCCCCTCTGACAGCTAGCTGTCAGTATATTCTCTGTATCTGTAGGTCTGTTTCTATTTTATTTGTTAGTTTATTTTGTTCATTAGACTCTACATAAGTGAAATCAATATTTCAATATCTAGAATATGCAAATTATTAGACACAAAAAATAGATTAGAGGTTACCAGGGACTAGAGGGAAGAAAAAATGGGGATGTATTGCTTAATGGTTACAGAGTTTCTGTTTGAGGTGATGAAAAAGTTTTGGAAACAGTGATGGTTGCACAACATGGTAAATGTAATTAATGCCACTGAACTGTACACCTGAAAATCATTAAAATGGCAAATTTTGTTATACTTTATCACAACTAAAAATAATATAACACACCAAAACCTCTGAATTGTACACTTTAAATGGACAAACTATATATTGTTATAACTATGCATGGTGTCAGGTGGGTATTAGATTTACTAGGGGAATCACATCACAAATTACATCAATGTCTAACCACTATGATATCCATCTAAAACTAATATAATATTGAATGCCAAATGTAATGAAAAATAAGGCAATCTACAGAATGGAAAAAAATAGTTATAAGTCATATATCTGATAAGAGATTAATATCCAAAATATATGAAGAACTCATACAACTCAAAAACAATAACAAAATTTAAAAATGTGCAAAAGGTATTAATAGACATTTCCTGAAACACAAAAATGGCCAGCAGGTATATGAAAAAGTGATCAACACCATTAATCAACAGGGAAATGCAAATCAAAACTATAATGAAATATCACCTCAGACCTGTTAGAATAGTTATTATCAAAAAGACCAAAAAAAAAAAAATAGCCTAGCTGGTGTGGCTCAGTGGTTGAGCATCGACCTATGAACCAGGAGGTCACCATTCGATTCCTGGTCAGGGCACATGTCCAGGTTGCACTCTTGATCCCCAGTAGGGGGCATGCAGGAGGCAACCAATCAATGTTTCTCTCTCATCAATGTTTCTCTCCCTTCTTCTCTGAAATCAATAAAAAAATATATTTTTTGAAAGACAAAAAATATGTATTGGCAAGAATGTAAAAAAAGGAAACCCTTGTACATTACTAGTGGGAATGTAAATTGGTGCAGCCATTATGGGAAACAATATGGAGATTCCTCAAAAAATTAAAAGTAGAACTACCTTATAATCTAGCAATCCGACTTCTAAGTATATAACCAAAGAAAATGAAATCACTACCTCAAAGAGATGTCTGCATTCCCATGTTCACTGTAATATTATTCACAATAGCCAAGATATGGAAACAACCCAGTGTCTGTCTGTCAATGGATGAATGCATGTGGTGCATAAAGGAAATGTGTTACGGCCCTGGCCTGTGTGGCTCAGCTGGTTGGAGCATTGTCCCGACTGAAAGGTTGTGGGTTTGATCCCTAGCTCAAGTCCCTAGTTGGAATGTTTACAGGAGGCAACCAATCATGTTTCTCTCTCTTTCTCAAATCAATAAGCATGTCCTCAAATAAAGATTTTTTTTAAAAGGAAGTGTGGTGTGTGTGGTGTGTGGTGTGTGGTGTGTGGTGTGTGGTGTGTGTGTGTGTATGTGTGTGTGTGTGTGTGTGTGTGTGTAAATGTAATATTATTTAGCCTTAAAAAATAAGGAAATCCTGCCATTTGCAACAACATGGATAAACCTAGAGGAAGAAATAAAATAAGCCAAGCACAGATACTGCATGATATCTCTTATATCTAGAATCTAAAAAGTTGAATTCATAGCCCTAGCTGGTTTGGCTCACTGGTAGAGCGTCAGCCTGCAGACTGAAGGGCCCCAGGTTCAATTCTGGACAAGGGCACATGACCGGGTTGCGGGCTCGATCCCCAATGTGGGGTGTGCAGGAGGCAGCCAATCAGTGATTTTCTCATCATTGATATTTCTGTCTCCCTCTCCCCCTCCCTTCCTCTCTGAACTAAATCAAAACATAAAAAATATTTAAAGTGTCTGAGAACTTGAGAGATGACTCTGTAGCGCTGGTGCTGATGGGAAGATGCTGGAAATTGATTAACCTGGGTGTCCCCAGCCTAGCACACCTTCTAGAACTGTCTCCGGGATTTCGTTCACCAGGCCTTCGGTTGGAAAGGCTTCCTGACTTGAGGCGGAGGACCTGGCAGGAGACGGGCGATGCCGGGACGGTTGGGTTGGGGTGAGGGCCCAGCTACCAGGAGGTCAGAAGAGGAGTGTGAGGGCTTTTTGCCTCGATGTGCAGATCTTTGCCAAAGTGGGGGGAGGAAAAGGCCGGAGATCAAGTTGCTCTAGAGTTACTAGGAGTACGTGGATTTTGTCCAAGAAAAAGGAAAGTAGTAAAAGGGAGGTCAACATTGGGACCACGCCTTCCCTTGCAAAGGATGGGAAGGCTATAAAAGTCTTCCCGGGCTGCTAGTTACTCTGTCTCTGCTGAAAATGACATATATAGCAGCAACAGAATGTTAAATTACCACTAAAAGCAAAGTTCCCTCCAGTGTGCTCTAAAGAGACCAGACATGTGGGCGTTTACTGTTACTGGTTCTTCCTGATGCCATTTTTTTTTTTTTAAAACTAATTTTCTGTGACTCATAAGAACTCCCATTTTCTCTCTTGACTGAGTGAATATGTGAGACCTTGTACTTGCCCTGTGGAATTTACAGCCAAAGACAACCTAGCAGGGAGCAAAGTGTGGGGAATGGTGTGGTATTGGGGCGCTGAATCTTCGTCCTGGAGGGCAGGACACATGGGGAGGAGGCGAGGGAGGCGGATGCCCTGGGCAAGGCAGATGGTTGTT